GACAGTGTTGTCCTCCGTCTCCATTTTGGCTTTCTCGCCAAATCTTCGGCCCATAAATGACTCTCTACTCTAAAGTTGTCCTTTGCTTACGTCATAGGTAACTGGTGCGTTCACGATCCGAGAGCCTTATTGGTGAAATATAATTTTATCAGATAATATATTAACTTAATGAAATGCCTAGATGTATGGATCCTGTTTTGCTATTTAGAATGGCTACAAAGATGCAGATGAACGGTTTGAATATTAATTCAAATTGTGGCCGTACTCAGTGGTGACCTGATTTTAAAAGTAGCAAAGTAGATTACATGGTCTAAACTGTACTTACAGTAGTAAAATTACACACTTGAAAGAAATAATCATAAAAGTACAAGTACCTCAAAATCTCCTTAATTACAATAATGTATTTGTAATTCATTACTTCCACCTCTGTTTATTTGTGAAACAAAGAGGGGCTTGCTTTTGCTGCCATATTTCAGAACCGCTGTGTGTAACTTGGTCCTGCTTTTACGTTAAATTCACACCAGTAGGTAGAGGTGTCCCAGTACTTTTTGTGACGTAGGTGGATGACAAAGGGGAGGTGGAGTTACCTAGACCTTCAAACTGAGATTTTTCAAAGCCACATTCTTAAGAAAGAGATACTTTAACTTAGTGGCAGGTTTAATTTTTCTGCTACAATAATTTTTATTGTCATAAACAGAGACATTTTCTAGCTTGTTGTATACTCTTATTACATTTAATGTCACAGTCAACTCTGTAAGCTGATACCTGCTGAAAGCTGTATAACGTCTATATTGCATAAATAGGCATTTTAACATATTGCCTGTTTGTTTAAAAGCAAACTGGGGACAATTGATGGCATTTCAGCTTCTTAATGATGTCTAAAAAAGTTAAATCTGGTCCTCTGGACATTCAAAAAAACAAACAAAAAAAAAACAAAGCAAATCAACAAAAAAATGTAGAAACGTTTCGTCTCTCATCCGAGAGACTTCCTCAGTCTGAGGAGCTGTATTCAGCTCAGTCTCTTAAATAGCACC